TTCTATTTTTTAAAATTAATTAATTAATTTTTGGCTGTGTTGGGTCCAAATTAACACAATATTGTAAATCAACTATGCTTCAATAAAATTTTTTAAAAAATAGAAATGTTTGCATATTCTTGTTCAAGTTCAAAGAGAACCAGGTAGGTATAACTAAAATGAAAAACAAACTTCATCAAAGCTTATTGGAAAGTGCTGACTTATTGGAATTGATTTTTTAAAATTTTATATTCACACGAAATACTAGGCAGGCTAACCAAACAAAAATTGATCTATAGCTGTACAGTGGTTAACCTGGAAACACATCCATTTTATTAGGACAAAAAAAGCAAGTTAAGGGATTCCCTGGTGGCGCAGTGGTTGGGAGTCCGCCTGCCGATGCAGGGGACACGGGTTCGTGCCCGGGTCTGGGAGGATCCGACGTGCCGCGAAGCGGCTGGGCCCGTGAGCCATGGCCGCTGAGCTTGCGCGTCCGGAGCCTGTGCTCCGCAGCGGGAGAGGCCACAACAGTGAGAGGCCCGCGTACCGCAAAAAAAAAAAAAGCAAGTTAAAAACAAAATGCGTCATTTGCTCCTATGTTGGTTGAAGAAGAAACCTGCAAGCACATTTTTAAAATATAAATTTATTTATTTATTTTTGGCTGCATTGGGTCTTCATTGCTGTGCGTGGGCTTTCTCTAGTTTCGGTGAGTGGGGGTTACTCTTCGTTGCGGTGTGCGGGCTTCTCATTGTGATGGCTTCTCCTGTTGCAGAGCACGGGCTCTAGGTGCGCAGGTTTCAGTAGTTGTGGCTCGCGGGCTGTAGAGCTCAGGCTCAGTAGTTGTGGCACACGGGCTTAGTTGCTCCGCGGCATGTGGGATCTTCCGGGATCAGGGCTCGAACCCGTGTCCCCTGCATTGGCAGGCGGATTTTTAACAACTGTGCCACCAGGAAGTCCCCTGCCTACTTTTTATGGGTTCAGTTGCTAACATGGGCACCAAATTTGAAAATTTTCTAAGGCTTTTGAAATAAATTATCTTTGAACTTTAAAACTTTGCCTTTTTCTACCTTCAAGGCCCTAGTTTTAAAGTCTGGCCCTTATTGCAAAAGGAAGCAATTTCTGAATACAATATTGAAAATCCAAGATAATGTAATCAAACTCTTATCCTTCAATGTTAAGACAATTTGTGTTCAAAACAATATTTTAGGAACACAGCCGGGGAACCCTCTAAAGCTTCAGTTTTCAAACTAATGGTGTGAAATGAATAATGTTGATATTTGTGATGCATATAATCTTTCAAAGCTTTGCACACTTTTTTTTTCAAAGCTTGAAGTTGACTCGTGGTCTTCTGTACAAATCTTTATACCCACGAATTTTATCTTGTGATTGGTCTCTCTTTTTGTTTTTTTCTCATCACATATCTGTTTCCCTATGCCAAAAGATATAGCTTTTTAAATTTTCTTTCGGCTGATAATGTTCATGGTCAGGACATGTATTTTATGTATGTCATAATAAGAGAAGAGTTCCCTTACTTGGGACATGTTTGTAATACAGTGTGAAGTGGGTACGGGAAAGATATAAAGTTGTATATATATGAAGATTACTTTTGTGTGGAAATTCAAAGGGAAAAATGTAACAAAATTAGCAAAAGTGAATCGGTGGCCAGAGTGGTGGGAGAATGGATTTGTTTGCTTTCTTGTTTTGCTCTTTTTCCTACATCCCAAATGTCTTGTGATTTCATTTGCTTACGAAAAAAAAAAAAAAAAAAACTAAAAATGAAAAGACATTTAAAGGACAAATAATACAAAGTCTATTTCATTTCATCTTCCCCAAATATATTTTTTGAACGTTTTTATTCTTATAGAAGTCACTCGTGTTCACTGTGTGAACATGGAGTACTTAGAAAAAAATAAAAGGAAATTTAAAAATTACTGTAATTCCAAAATCTAGACATAATCACCGTTAACATTTTGGTGCGCTTACTTTAGTCTTTTTAAAAGCGTAATTGTTTAATGTCGATGGAATTGGAGTATATGTAGAGATTTTTCTTTTTTTCCCCTTTTGTTTCTATTTTTTAAGTTTCATTTTTTTATTGAAGTAAATTTGATTTACAGTATCCTGTTAGTTTCAGGTGTACTAGATTTTTTTTCTCTTTCCTTAAACATCACGAGCATTCCCTGTGACATTACTCTTGTTTCAAATATGATTTTTGGTGGCTGCTTAAGAGTCTTCCGTATGAATATCCTACCATATATATATCATCATCCTCCCCTTTGTCATCATAAGCTGGTTTCTCTTTCTGGCTTTTACAGATCACGCTATCATGCTGAAAGGGACAGCGTTGTACAAAACTTTTTCACTTTTCTCTGTTTATTTCCTTGAGCTGAAGTCCTAGAAGTGAAATTAGTAGGTGGAAGGGTAAAAAACATTTTAAATGTCCTTCCTATCTTTTCAAACTGCTGGACCAAAAGGTAGCTTTAACTTAGGCATCCATGGGCATTGAGAGTATCTTCATTCTAAAAAAGATGATTTTTTTTTTTTTTTTTACAATTTTAAGAAGGTAAAAAAATTCAACTTTTTCTTTTGATTCTCATTCTTTTACTACTAGTAAGTCTGTCTTTGCTATACTTTGGTTTACCAGTCAGCTGTTGTTCTTTTCTGTGAATTATATATTCAAGTCCTTGGCCCATTTTTTTCCCGTTAAGATGCATTTATTTCTTATGCATTTGAATAAGTTCTTTATAAACCAGAAATATTATTCCTTTAGTTATAAAATTTATGACCAATATATCTCCAGATTGTTCTTTAGCTTTTAATTTTGTTCATTACCACATTTGCACTGGTTTTTCCTTCGTGATGTCCTCCGTGGCTTTTCATGTGTTAAAAATGCATCTCCAGGGACTTCCCTGGTGGTGCAGTGGATAAGACTCCGTGCTCCCAATGCAGGGGGCCCGGGTTTGGTCCCTGGTCGGGGAACTAGATCCCACACTCCTGCCACAACTAAGGAGCCCACCTGCTGCAACAAAGACCCGGCACAACCAAATAAATAAATAAATATATTTTTAAAAATGCATCTGCACGCTTACCTGAATGTTCCACCTAAATTTTTAAATGTCTTTTAAAAAGTCTTTAATTCATTTGGAACTATTTTCATGAATGGTATGAAATATAAATGGAACTTGACTTTTCCCAAACCACAGATTTTCCCATTTTAGTGATTGATGCATATCCCCTTTCCTCATTAATCTGTGGTGTTTTTTATCATGTGGAAAGGTTTTACATTTCCTAGAGTCTCCTTCCAGGCCATTCCATCTTTATTTCATTCATCTGTCTATTCTTGAACCAATATGCTACAATATTTTTATGGAGACTTCTATCTTTTCAAATCTGGTATGGCAAGCCCTCCATATCATTCTCCCTTTCAAAAACATCTTAGTTATTCTTATCAATTTATTCATCCAGATGAAGTTTAGAATTTGACACATTCTCCCCAGATCATGTGGAAACTGATTGGTATTGCATTTCTTCCCATCCACGGGGGTGGTATAACTGTAGTTTTCTTTGTATAGGTCCTGCTCAAATCTTGTTATTTCTAAGAAATTTACTGTGACCTTGGTATAGTGGATTTCCCAATTAGTGTTAGAATAATAGAAAGCAAGTGATTATTTTGGCGATTCTTCACGTATATAGCTACTTGCTGAACTTATTACGAATTCTGAGAGTGTCTTAAATGCTTATTCAGGGATTTCTAGATGGACCATCACACCTACAAATAACAGTAGTTTGTTGGGGTTTTTTTGGATAGACTTTTTGCTCTATTTTATTGCGTTGTTTCGGCCTCCTAGATGCGTTCAATGGGCACGTGATAAAGGCATTCTCGTTTTACTCCCGATTTTAATGGGAATGCTTTTGGTATTTCATATCTATGTTCTATATTGTGGCTGATAGTTTGAAGTACCTTTTAAAAATCGTGTTCAGGAAGTGTCTGTCATGGCGATGACAAATGGGAGGACTAAAGCTAGAAGCTATTTTTTCAAGAGGCAGGGATGCCTCCAGCTGGAGTGAGGGCACAGGTGGCTCTTAATCATGAACCCTTCTGTGCTGATTCTTGACTCTCTACGAGAATTATGAATTACTCTGCTTTTGCTTTACAAGCAAACAACTGCAAGAATAAAAACACAAAAACTTTTATTTCCAGTTTTCAAAAAACTATAGAGTTTCAATCAAGTTTCAACATGTATAATGCCTTTCCCAGCGAGTGTTAAGACGACGAGGCTGTTTCCCCGTCACCTGCTTGCTGTTTCACTTTCCCTGGGGTCGGATCAGCCCTGCGTTTCTTGGACAAAGGCCTGCAGTCCCTGGATGACTGTTAACATGGATTTAACGGCATTGCAGGCGGGGTCTCAAGTCTGACGTCGTCCTGGAGGGTGGCCCCTGGCTTTGGGTCGGGGTCGGTGGGCGACCGGGCCACTCTCCTCTGGGTCGTGCCTCCACCCCGGGAATTGCCCTTCCCGGAACTTTTCCCCTCAAAACCCCACTGGCAGAGCCTCCGGAGGCGTTGGTTCTTTGGTAACTTTTCCATTTTTTTCCCCTCATTCCTTCCAAGCCGCTTTTGGCAGTTCGGTTGCATCTGCCTGGTTTCTTGACGGTGAGGTCACGGGTCACCACCGCCCCCCACCCCCCCCACCCCGACCCCCGCAGCCAGGTGGATGCTCCAGGCGGTTAGCAGCTGACCCCTTGCGGGAGCCGTGGAGCCAGGCGAAGAGGCCTCGGGGCGGGGCCGCATTCCGGCCCAGCCCCGCCCAGCGCCACCGACGCGCACGCGGCTTGGCCCCGCGCCGGCGCGTGCTGAGCCCTCCCGCGTGCCGTCCTTACCCGGCCTGCGCCGCGCGGCCGCCTCCGGAAGTGGACTTCGCCTCCTCAGAAGTGGTTCGTCTGTTTCCTAGGCTCGTGGGTCTGCGGCCGCAGCGCTTGGCGCCGGAGCTCGAGGGGCGGGGGTTGGGGGCGGGCCGGCTGCCGCCATGGCCGGGAGTCAGGACATGTTCGACGCCATCGTGATGGCGGATGAGAGGTGGGTAGGGGGCTGGGCCGGGCCCCCACCCGAGCAGGTCTGCTCTCAGCCGCTGGGCTGCGGCGGCCGCCCGGGCCCTGGGGGAACGCGCTGTGGCTCAGAAGGCGGCTGGCGCGAGAGGGCCTGAGATGCTTCTGTTTCTCCTTTGCTCATCGGCCTCTCGGGCGAGCGCCACGTGCCCAGCTGTTCCTCTAGATCCGCCTCCCCCGTCCGGGGCTGCCTCACGCATCTGCTCGGTCTGGTGACTGCCTCCCTCCAGGGACGCCCCTTCCTCGGGTGGGACGGACCTTTGCCATCTGGGCGCTGCCCCTTTTCTTGTTCCTCAGTGGTAGGACATACGGCAGCATTCACGGACATGCTCTTAAATGTGTCAGGCGTCATCCTTTTCCCTCCTGAGTCCCCGGGGAGCGCCTAGGGCTGTGACGGGGGAGCTGTTGGTTGCTTTGTGGCTGTCGTCCAGTGCCCTGCCCACTTGAGACATCAGTAGATGTCAGTTAAGAAAGAGAGTGAGCAGTAAACAGTCGCTGACGTTTATTTGGAGTTTGCTGTGAATTGGACGATGAGCTAAGCGTTGTGTCCAGTTATTTATTTTAGCTCTACTTGTGAAGGGGATCCTATCCTTCACCCTGTCTTTCAGATGAGGAGGCAAGGTCACTCCCAGGACCACACAGCCAGTAAGTGGGAGCTGTCCCCTCGGCCTCACTGGGCGCTCCAGCACACCCCTTTCACTTTGGTGACTGCAAGTTATGCTGGTGCCAATTACACTGCTGGGCCTTCAAAGTCAGAGCCTTTATTCTACTGCAGGCACCACGGTCACGGTACATTTTGTGATCATCTGATGGCGTTTCTTCTTGCTAGCCTCCTGAGATGTGATGGAAAGCCCGGTACATGTTGCAGAGTTTTTGTGGTTTTTTGTGAAGCACTTGACCAAACAGTCTAGCTTACAGACCCAGAAGTGGGGCTCGATGACCTGGCTGCAGATGAATTACCGGGGACATCCTGCAAAGCAGATTCCTGGGCCTTACTCCAGACTTACTGAATACGAGGGGTGACGCCCCTGAATTTGTATCTTTGAAGTTTTCCTGTGTGTTTCTGATATTCTGCCAGGTTTGGGAATCACCGATTTAGCCCACCTTCCTCTTTGTACAAGAGGTAAATTGGGCTTCCAGAATTACAGCGACTCGCCAGACGGAGAGACTTAGGGAGGGGTGGAGCTGAGATTGGAACTTACGTTTTCTGGCTTAAATTTTGTTCTTTTTCTACAGTACTAGGTGTTGTCTTGCTAGGGCTGGGTGATGTGGAAGAGGAAAGTTTTTGCAGGAAGAATGCTCTTTCTCCTGCTTATTTGCTCACGCTTCCTCTTCTCTGTTGCAGGTTTCACGGGGAAGGTTATCAGGAAGGCTATGAAGAAGGAATTAGTTTGGGTTTGATTGAAGGAAGACGGTATGGCACGCTACATGGAGCTAAAATCGGATCTGAGGTAAGTGGGACCCCCCACTTAGAAAGGAATCCTTTTCTCTTACCATTGACAGTTTGCCTTGATCAGTGTGATGGAGCCACCACTTCAGGCCTCTTCACATGGCAGTAGGCTAGATAGAACGTTGGCGGAGAAATCGTCTCAGGACAGAACCCGCAGAGGGTGTTGCTGTGTGGAGGTGATGGAGTCAGGTGGGCTGGAGAAAGAAAAGACAAGTCCCCCTCACCTCAGTCGACGTCGAGTGTCACGGTGCTGCCCTGTGTCTTAAGGCAGCTGAATCCTCCCCAGAGAGTGAGCACCCTGTGTCTTGTGAAAACGTGCCATTTATATTTCTGTTGAAATTCCATAAAATCCCTGATTTTCCTTTTCTCCTGCTCTTCGACCTAGATTGGCCCTCACTTATGGAGATAACTGGCCCTAAACACTAACGTCTGAGGCCGTGAGGACTGTATTAGGTGTGTGTTGTTTCAAAATGAATCAGCACAAGACACGTGGGCTTAAGATAACCAGTGTTTATTATCTCACACGGATTCTGAGGGTCTGTGGTCCAGGAGCAGCTGAGCCGGCTGGTTCCGGCTCGGGGTCTCTGGATGCTGGAGTTAAGAGTCAGCCAGCCTGCAGTCAGCTGAAAGCTTGCTGGGGCTGCAGGAGCCACTTCTCAGATGGCTGCTCACACGGCTGTCCTCACCACGTGGACCTCTCCATAGGGCTGCTTGAGTGTCCTCGTGACACTGTGCGGGTGGCCCACGTCGGCAGGGCAGAGGTGGCATCGTCTGTCAGTGCCTGGATTCAGAGGTCAGAGGTCACGTGCTGTCTCTTCCTGTGTGTTCTGCTCATCAAGGTCACCCCGATCCGGTCAGGGGGCCGCACAGGGCAGGAATACCAGGGGGTGGGGAGGTGGGGTCCAGTGGGGCCACCTTGGAGGCTGGCTGCCCCGCTGGTGACTTGACCTCCAGCTTCTGTAGCCTGGTGCCCAATGGGTGCTTCCAGAACAGCAAGAGGAGAAGCACCACTGCCCCCGGGCCCCCGCCCCCCTTTTTGTTTTGAGGGCTTGATGTTTAGATCAAGTATAGCTGTTGGTTAGTCACTTCACTCTTGAATGTTTCGTAAATTCACAGATCGGGTGCTACCAAGGTTTTGCTTTTGCCTGGAGGTGTCTCCTGCATGGCTGCGCCACTGAGAAAGACAGGTAAAGCTGAGCCTTCTTTCTTCTTCGGTGTCTGGACGGGAAGTTCCGGTTTCATAGCTCACTCCGACCCTGGGCGGTTAGTCTCCTCACCTGTAAAGTGGAGAAATAACCAGGCCGAACCTGAAATGTCTCACGAGGTTTATAGGAAACAGGAACTAGGGGGCGCCGGGCACACCTCCGGTGTTATTACTACTCCCCCAGGGCCCTCGGGTCCCCCTGCCTTTGCCCTGGAGGCCTTAGGGCGCTCAGAGCCTTTCAGTCACCCTGCCAGTCAAACCACGATGAAGATGACATTATCTTCTCATTCATCTTTCCTCTGAGCTTGTAACAAACAGAGCAGAACAGTCTTGGTATGATCAGGGCTCAGAAAAGGTGACTCCCTTGTCACTGGGTTTTTTAATGTAGCTGAAAGGTCTGCTAATGAGATGACCCATTTCATGTGTTTCACAGGTGTCAGGTACCTGGAAGCACTAAGTAACCATGAGCTGTTATTTGTAGTGTTTGTAGCCTTTATATTTTTTTTATTTTTGGCTGCGTTGGGTCTTCGTTGCTGCACGCGGTCTTTCTCTAGTTGCGGCGAGCGGGGGCTACTCTTTGTTGCAGTGCGTGGGCTTCTCCTTGCGGTGGCTTCTCTTGTTGTGGAGCATGGGCTCTAGGCACGTGAGCTTCAGTAGTTGTGGCATGACGACTCAGTAGTTGTGGCTTGCGGGCTCTAGAGCGCAAGTTCAGTAGTTGTGGTGCATGGGCTTAGTTGCTCCGTGGCGTGTGGGATCTTCCCGGACCAGGGCTCGAGCCAGTGTCCCCTGCATTGGCAGGCAGATTTTCAACCACTGCGCCACCAGGGAAGCCCGTCTGTAGCCTTTGGAGCATGCTCTTGTTGGTTGCTGCTACCTGAAGCCCCGGGACCTTGTCCCCACCCACGGTCTTCACTCTTAAGTTGGAAACGCACCCCCATGTGAAAGGCCGTCCTGCCGCTTATGGGAGCCGACACTGGGCTTCGGCGGCTGCTCTGCATCATCTTGATGTCTGGTGGCTTTGCCTGGCCTGGGAGGGGTGCCAGGAGAGTGGATAACAGAGCAGGGAAGCTGGCATTCCCCCGTCCACGTGACCTGCCATCTTATTTGGAATATTTTGAATTTCTAGAACTTGGGCCACAGCCATATGGAAATGTCAGAGCAGGGATGCTCAAGACAGTCTGGGTGATCGTGGGGTCGCCTGCTCTCTGACTTGTCACGTCACTGAGCACGTGGGAGTTGACCAGATTCGTCCATCATCCGAGGGCCATCTTGGGGAGATTTTCCTCTGAAGATTCAGTGGGAGTGGGCGGGTAGCTGGCGGTCAGGTTGGGACAGTGGTTGGCAGCCCCGGGCGCCACTGGGCGGCTGTCGGAGCGGAGCGTGGCTCCCCACTCCCGGTCCACGAAGGTGGGGTGGGGCGCACGGACTTGGAATGCTCCAGCAACCTCCCCTTCTCCTCTGCGGCTCACGGAGGGCCCTGCACTGGGTGTGAAGGGTCTCGCACCTGGGGGCTGCCAATCCGCACCCCAGGGCAGGGGTTCCCTCCCTTCCTAAAGCTGCGCCCCCGGTCTGTCCATCAGAGGGCCCGTGGCCCGCTGCCCCGCCATCCCCACCCCACCAGCAGAGCCCGGGGAGCCCTTTGAAACACAGCCTAAAACCCTTTATCTTAGAGCAATGGTTTTTGGATTTTCTAAGTCTACAGTTTTTTTAAAAATGGTAGAAGGTGGCCAAAGGATCTGCTTCCTTTATGTTTCAAGTAAGGATGTTAAAAGAGAAACACCTGCCATGTGTGTTATCATTCAGTGAGCTAAGGGAATTTTGACACCAGAGAAGCTGTGTGGAGAGCCATATCTCAGCCTGAAGGATGGAGACCTTTCCATCAGGTGACTGTAGCTTTCTGACCCACTTTGAGACGCTCCTCTGCCCCTTCCGCAGTTGGGTGAAGGCTTTTTCCCTTACACCAGCTGTGAGCGGGTCACACCCTCCTGACACGCACTGGCTTTGACCACTGGCTTTGACCGTGCGATGGGCTGGGTGTGTCTGGAGTAGCTTCACTGACCGGGGAGGGCAGGAATGACCCGTCGCTGCTTGCAGAGCTGGGAGTGGGTGGTAGTCATTGTATCGTGGCAGGTTCAGCCGTTTCCCGCATGTTGGCATCTGCCTTGCAACTCCCTGGAAATCAAGTGCTTTGTTGCTTTACTTAACTCACTCTGACCTTTTGCAGTTCTGTGTTTTCTCCAAGAGGTGCCCATCATAGTTCTTCTAAACTGGTTTAAAAACCGCAAATGTGAGCAGGTCCTGGTCACTTTGAATGGCTATTGCTTCATCCTAAGGATGAGTCCTTTAGGATTCCCAGGGATCAGATATCTGGCATGCTCCTGACACCCTGGGGATCAGATGTGGTGAGGGGAAGGTGGCTCGGCAGGGTCGCTTGCCTGCGACCCAGAGGGCACCCACCCTCCCAGATGAAGCGAGGAGACTGACGTTTATCGAGCCCCTACTCTGTAGCACGTTCTGGGCTTTATCCTCCTGAGAGCCTGGGAGGTGGCCGTTAAGGCCCCATTTTACAGATGAGGACGCTGAGGCTCAGAGATGTGAAATACCTGAGTGCCCCGGGGCGGTTGCGCTCCAGGCTGCCCACCAGCTGAGCTCCTCGTCTTCCTGGGAAAGGGAGCCGAACTCAAACACCAGCCACTGGTTTCTGCCCTATGGATGGAGGGGGCTTGCCGGTTTACCTGCTGTTAAACTCCCAGAGGCTCTGAGTGTGAAGATTTTAGATCCTGGAAAATCCCCAAGTCCGGAGCAGGCAGGGCTGTGCCCGGCACTGTCGGTGTTGCCTTGGCCTCTGGGTCCGGGTGGAGCCGTCCCTGTAAGGTCAGTTCGCTCCTAATGTCCAGATGCGGGTGTGGGCGGGCTCACACTGCCAGGTGAGTAAAGGTTGTTTAGTGTGATGACAAAGTTAGTCACCAGCGCCTGAGGCCAGGCATGCTCAGCACCACCACTTTAAAGCCATTGAGCGGCATCGCTGTTAGGTAAGCTGAGCCTGTTGTGTGCAAAGGACCAAAAGTCTTTATTTCTGTGTTTTACAGCAAAAAGATGAAGGTCTTAGAATCGTTGATTGGAATGATTCAGAAATTCCCTTATGATGACCCTACTTATGATAAACTTCATGAAGACTTAGACAGAATTAGAGGGAAATTTAAGCAGGTTTGTGTCCTGTGTGTTTCTTTTTGATCAGGGTGCCTTTCTCAGATGTAGCTGGGGCAGCCCTTGGGGGCTCATTTCACTAATGGTTTGGGGGCCACTGGTAACATATAAATGGTCAGTAAAGCAAATCTTTGTGTGTGTCGATGTAAGGAAACCGAGGACCATGTAGGGAACGGGTGTGAGAACTTCTTGAAGGGAGGTGGCCTAGACAAGTAGAGTTGCAGCTAGAGAGAGACTTCTGCTCTAATTTAAAAAAACATATTTTGTCTTTTGTGTTTTTTCAGCTTTGTTCATTACTAAACGTGCGGCCCGACTTTAAAATTAGCGCAGAAGGTTCCGGACTTTCATTTTGAGGATGACAGACGCACAAAGACGAAACATCAGGGAACAGATGTTCGTATGTTAAGTGTTTAAAAATGTGATTAAAGGCAAAACAATGATGGGTGATTCATTGTTTTGCAGGGAGGGTTCCAGCTTGGCCGCTGAAAGGGCTTCCTTACCCCGAGGTCTGCCGGGTGGCCTCCGTGCCCGCCACGGGGCCCCTCCACATAGGCCCGTCCTTTGTTGGGCCCTGCCTGCTCTGCAGCGTGAACGCGGCCCTGGCAGAGCCCTCACCGGGCTGCTCTTCTCTGGTCCAGCCAGGGTCCAGGCCCCTGGCTCACGGGTTCTCGTCACTTGGCAGGCCTGGCTGGATCTAGACTCGGGTTGGCTCTGGATAGGATAAACCTCCCCTTTACTCCCCGGGCTTTGGTCAGTGCTCAGAGGGACAGTTTTTTAAAAAATGAGAGCCACAGGGTTGACAGGAAGCAGGTTAATGGGAAGGAGTGATGGGTACTGTGACATTTATTGACCCTTGAGATGTGCCAGTGCTGTGACCTGCTTCTCATGTTTTATTTAGTCCCTTCGGGAGCCCATGAGGTAGGCGTTATTCCCATTTTATAGATGAGGAAACCGAGGCCCAAGAGACTGCCTGGTCCAAGGGCAGTGGGCGGCAGAGCTGGGACTTCAGCCCTGTCTCCTGGTGCCCGCTCTGGAATGCACGGTTGCACCCACAGTCTCAGGGGACCCTGCCTGCAGGTCCCCGCTATGCCCCGTGGAGTCCTGGGGCTTCTCATGTGGCCGTGCATGTGGGCGTCTGGCTGAGAGTAGCAGAGGCCAGCCCTGTGCCCAGGAAGCTGGGACGTGCTCTTCCTGTGTCCCTGGGTGGCTGGGGCTCTGCAGCCGCAAAACTGGTCAAGGGGAGGAGACTCTAAGGCCACCGCCCTGTGCGCAGAAACTTCGGAGCCTTACCGCAGCCTCCTTCTAGCGTGAGCTCTCTTCTGCCCGGACTTAAAACGCATCATTTGTACGTGGTGCACGGCCTCAGGTGCGCCTTCGTCACAGACACCAGCAGCGCTTATCCCGGGCTGGTGGGATGGAGCGGCTTTTGTTGTCGTTTTTCTGGGTGGATTTTTTTTTTTTTTTTTGCGCTCCGCGGGCCTCTCACTGCCGTGGCCTCTCCCGTTGCGGGGCACAGGCTCCGGACGCGCAGGCTCAGCGGCCACGGCTCACAGGCCCAGCCGCTCCGCGGCACGTGGGATCCTCCCGGACCGGGGCACGAACCCGCGTCCCCTGCGTCGGCAGGCGGACTCGCAACCGCTGCGCCACCAGGGAAGCCCTGGGACCATTTTTGATGCGACATCTAGCGAATTCATTCCTTTCTCCGTGATATTTGGGGTTGAGGTACCAGGGTCTCACTGAACAGCCTTCTGTTGTGTTTGTGTCTGCGTGTTTCATTAATATGCACGGAGGCAGCTACCGCGACAGGACGGCGCCCCGTGATGTTCAGGAAAGGGTCAGGTCCTGCTGCCCCTGGCCAGCCACTGCGTGCGTTTATCACTGACCTCTCCTGCCCCAAACCTCACTCCCCCCGACCCCTTCCGTCTCTCTCAGCCTCTCCCATGCCAGGTGTCAGCCAGAGCAGCTGGCAGCCACTTCCTTTCCCCCATCCCACGGGGCCGAGCTGCCTCATCGATCACCTTCAGGGGCCCTGGGCACTGGACTTGACCTGTGCCAGCCTGGCTCCTTCTTGGAGGATGAGACCCAGTTTCCAGGACCCCTTGGTCACCCAAGACAGATGTTCTGGATTACAGTACAGACAGAGCCCCTGTTCGTGTCACAACCACTCTGTTCCTGTGATGCCACCTGCAGCGATGGGGTCCGGGGAACTTGCTCTTCTGGCTGATGAGACGGTGGACACCCGAGGGCTTCTGGGAAAGGTCACATCACTCTTGAGAGAGATGGTATCTCTTTTGGAAGTTGTCCTGTGGGGATGCCACACCTGGAATTATGACAGCTTGCAAGCAGCTATGGATGAAGCCAGACCTGGGCATGGCAGAGCCCAGCCAGAGGACCCAGCCCGAGGACATTGCCAAGCATCTGTGCTGACTGACCCCCGAGAGGTGCTCTGTTGGCCAACCTCGGTTATAGGAGCTGATGAATGCCCTAGTTCAAGGCCACTTCGGTAGGGCTTCCATTGTTTGTAGGCAAAGGTATCCTGCTTGCCCTCTCCCCCAGCCCATCCCATCCCTTCCTGTCCACCTACACCTGGTCCTGTTGGATATTAACGCTTGTTGGATCTCCCCCTTTCCAGGGGCTCGTAGATTTCCCACCGCTCTGGCCTGCTTGCTCTTCCCTGTCGGAAACTCCCAGCATGTTTTGTGCCACATTATTAGTCAGCCGGGGCTACCATAGCGAATGCCGCACAGTGGGTACCTTAAACAACAGGCATTCACTGTCTCCCAGTCCTGGAGGCTGGAATCTGAGACCCCGGTGTGGGCAGGGCCGGTTCCTCCTGAGACCTCTCCTTGGTGTGTAGACGGCTGTCTTCTCCCTGTGTCCTCACACAGTCGTCCCTGTGTGTGTCGGTGTTGCTTTAAGGACTCCAGCCCTGTTGGATTGGGGCCCACCTTGATGACCTCCTTAAAGGCCCCATCTCCAAATATAGTCACATTCTAGGTGCTGAGAGGCAAGACTCCAACATGAATTTTTGTGGGGACATAATTCAGCCATAGGGTGAATACAGGGTGGCCTGTAATAGCCACCCTGTCTGGCTGCCTGGACAGACTCAACTTGGGAGAGAAGGAGACCATTTCACTTAAAAGTTGAAGTTACTTTGGGACGTCCCTGGTGGCTCAGTGGTTAAGAATCTGCCTGCCAATGCAGGGGACACGGGTTCCAGCCCTGGTCCGGGAAGATCCCACATGCCGCGGAGCAACGAAGCCGTGCGCCACAACTACTGAGCCCACGCACCTAGAGCCTGCGAGCCACAACTACTGAAGCCCACACACCTAGAGCCCGTGCTCCGCAACAAGAGAAGCCACCGCAAAGAGAAGCCTGCGCACCGCAACGAAGACCCATCGCAGCCAAAGATAAATAGGTAAATAAATAAATTTTATTTTTAAAAAAAGTTGAAGTTAACTTCATTTTATTTTTTAGAACATCAGTAATTGGGAGGAAGCAGGCTAATCAATCCACCTGAACTTACCACGTTGGAACTATACTCTCAGAGGCGCCGTGGTGGGTGGTGGGAAACACCCAGCCACAGTCCAGAGCCCAGCCCCAGACGCTTACGTTTACTTCACGTTCAGCTTGTTGTTTTTCTCTACCCAGTGGTGAGAAAAGAATGAAGTGATTTGGAGGAAGGGAAAAGAAGTCTTATTTACCGAGTGGCTGCTCGTGGCCGCCTCGACCTTCCTTGGGTCACTGAAGTGTCCACAAAGCCTATGAGGTGGGGTCGCTGCCTGCCCCCCTCACCCCGGCAGATGGGGGCCTGGGGCTCCCAGTTGAGCTGAGTGATGTGCCAGCGGTCGCAGTAAGTGGCAGACCTCAGGCCTAAGCACAGCGGGGGTCAAGGGGTTTGCTTAAGTTATTCTTAGCCAGACAGAGTCTCATTTTCCTGATAATTCACAGCCTGTCTGTGTGACCAGTCTTGCACCTAGCTGATAGCGGCAGAGACAGTCGGCTTTATGGGAAGGGACCCGTGCTGGCTGCAGTAGGGGAGGCCTGGACCGCGTGGGCCATCAGCTGCCCTCGACTCTGAGCACGGCTCACTGAGGGATGGATGGGGAGCCTGGAGGTGGGGTGGGGGGGGCATTCAGCTCTGCCTGGGGGATAAGGGAGTGGGAAAGTGGGCAGGAAGCCTTCTTGGAGGAGGTGACCTTGGCATGACTCGCTTTGTGAGCTTTCATTTGAGCTCAGCACCGTGGAGAATGTCTCTTCCACCCTACCTGAAAACACAACGTAATTTGGAGAGATCAAAACCTGTAAGTAACTGGTGAGGTCGACCCAACTCCAGTTACTCCATTCCTTGGTGAGTGAAGTGAGGAACCGGTCTGCGGCCCAGGAAACATGTCCCCAAGCGAGTATGATCCATCAGAGAAAAGTGGGCACTGCGTTCAGTTCTCACAGGACACGAGGGTCGTGCAGGTGCTGGGCCAGGCTCCCAGAGGGACGGACCTATCCAAGCCACCGGGACTTAGGGGCTCACTTCAGTGTCCCAAGAAGGACAGTCACTCCTTGCCTGTGAACTTCTCCATAGCTCTGATGGCTGATTAAACTCCTCACCTGACACTGAGGCCCTTGCTGGTGTGTCCCTTGGTGGCCCCTGTGGGGACAGCGCTTCTGCCCCATCTCCCTGGTGCCCTTTACCAGATCAGCTGGGCCTTGGGTCCCTAGGGTTGGAGCGATACCTGAATATGATCCTGTTTCTACCCACTCAGGAGTGTGATGGGCCAGGGGACCCCATGGCCCAAGTAAACGGCCATGGAACTGAAGACTTAGTGGCAGGCTGTCTCCATCCTTTCAGCAAGGATTTATTGAACTTCCATTATTTTTGGTGGGCATGTGCCCCTGAAATCCCAGGGTGCTCCACGAACAGGTTCCCTAGCTCTGAGAGCTCAGACACATCTGTTGAGTTGAACCACGTCCCCTAAAAGATGTGACGAAGTCCCAGCCCCTGGGACCTGTGAATGTGACCTTGGGAAAAAGGTTTTTTGCAGCTGTTGGATGGGGACCTGGAGGTGGGGTGGGGGGGGCATTCAGCTCTGCCTGGGGGATAAGGGAGTGGGAAAGTGGGCAGGAAGCCTTCTTGGAGGAGGTGACCTTGGCATGACTCGCTTTGTGAGCTTTCATTTGAGCTCAGCACCGTGGAGAATGTCTCTTCCACCCTACCTGAAAACACAACGTAATTTGGAGAGATCAAAACCTGTAAGTAACTGGTGAGGTCGACCCAACTCCAGTTACTCCATTCCTTGGTGAGTGAAGTGAGGAACCGGTCTGCGGCCCAGGAAACATGTCCCCAAGCGAGTATGAT